AAAGAAGAATTAAAACCTCAGGCTATTCCAGAAAATTCAAGAGGAAAGCATACTTCTAAGCTCATTCTATGAAGCCAGCATTACCCTAATACCAAAACCAGATAAAAAACACAAAGAAAGAGAACTACAGGCCAATAGCCCTCATGAACATAGATGCCAAAATTCTAGCAAATCAGATCTAGCAGTACATCAGAAAGATCATACACCAGGACCAAGTAAGACCTATCCCAGAGATGCAAGGATAGTACAATATCCACAAACCAATAAACGTGATATATCATATAAACAAATTGAGAGATAAAAATCACAGTCATATCAATTGACACAGAAAAAGCATTTGATAGAATCCTACACCCTTTCTTGATAAAAACCCTCAGCAAAATGGGAATAGAGGGATCATACCTCAACATAACAAAAGCCTTATATAACAAACCTACAGCCAACATCATACTCAATGGGCAAAAACTAAAACCATTTCACCTAAGAACAGGAACAAGACAGGGATGCCTACTTTCACCACTCCTCTTTGACATAGTACTGGAAGTGCTAGCCATAGCAATTAGACAACAAGAAGAAATAAAAGGTATCCAAATTGGAAAGAAGACATAAGACTGTCCTTATTCACAGATGGCATGTTACTGTACATAGGAAACCCTAAAGAATCCATAAAAAAACTACTACACCTAATAAATTAATTCGGCAATGTACCAGGATTCAAAATTAATGCCAAGAAATCTAAGGCATTTTTATACATCAATAGTGAACTTACAGAGAGATTAAAAAAACAACCCAATTTACTATTATGCCAAAAAAATTAAGATACCTAGGAATAAACTTAACAAAGGAAGTAAAAGACCTGTACTCAGAAAACTACAGGACACTGAAAAAAGAGACAGAGAAAGACATAAACAGATGGAAGAACATACTGTGTGCATGGATTGGTAGAATTAACATCATTAAAATGTCCATACTACCCAAAGCAAGCTATAAATTCAATGCACTCCCCATTAAAATACCAACGGCATATTTCATAGATCTAGAACGAACTCTCCAAAAATTCACATACAGATTAATGGAATAGAATAGAGAACCCAGAAATCGACCCAATCCACTATGATCAATTAATATTTGATAAAAGAGACAAGAGCATACAATGGAGTCAAGACAATCTCTTCAATAAATAGTGTTTGGAAAATTGGACAGATACATACAAAAAAATGAAATGAGACCAACTTATACCATACACAAAAATAAACTCAAAATGGATAAAGGACTTAAACATAAGACAGGAAACCATAAAAATCTTAGAGGAATCTACAGGCAGCAAAATTTCAGACATAAGCCGAAGCAATATCTTCACTGATACTATTCCTATGACAATGGAAACTAAAGAGAAAATAAATGGGAACACATCAAAATAAAAAGCTTCTGCACAGCAAAAAAACCATCAACAAAACAAGAGAACCCACTGCATGAGAATATATTTGCAAAAGTTATCTCCGATAAGGGTTTAATGTACGGGGAACTCATACAACCTAACAAAAGAAAGATAAACAACCCAATCAAAAAATGGGCAACTGACCTAAATAGATACTTTTCAAAAGGGGACATGCTCAAAGTCACTAATTATCCAAGAGATACAAATCAAAATGACAATGAGGTATTATCTCACACCCATCAGAATGGCTATCATCAACAAATCAACAAATGATAAGTGCTGGCAAGAATGCAGAGAAAAAGGAACCCTCCTGCACTGCTGGTGGGAATGCAAACTGGTGCAGCCACTGTGGAGAACAGTATGGAGTTTCCTCATAAAACTAAAAATGGAACTCCCATTTGATCCAGTAATCTCACTTCTAGGAATATATTCCAAGAAACTAGAAACACCAATCAGAAAGGATATATGCACCTCCATGTTCATAGCAACACTATTTACAATAGCTAAGATTTGGAAACAGCCTAACTGCCCATCAGCAGATGAGTGAATTAAAAGACTGTGGTACATCTACACAATGGAATACTATGCTGCTGTAAAAAGGAAGGTTCTCCTACTATTTGCAATACCATACATGGACCTGGACAGCATTATGCTAAGCAAAATAAGTCAGTCACAGAAAAATAAATATCACATGATCTCACTCATTTGTGGAATATAATTAACAATATAAACTGATAAGCAAAAACAGATCCAGAAACAGAGAAGCAACGATCAGACCATCAAACCTCAGAGGGAAGGTAGGGGAGAGTGGGGATAAAGGAGAGAGATCAACCAAAGGACTTGTATGCATGCATATAAGCCTAACCATTGGACATAGACACAAGGGGAGTGAGGACATGAGTGAGGGTGGGGAGTAAAAGGGGTTATGTGGGCATAAGGACATGTATGTAATACCTTAATCAAGAAAGAAAATAAAAGTAAAAATAAAATTAAAAAGTAGAAGTGTCAACCAAATTCATTATCAACAATAACAGATCGAAACACATGCGTGCAATTGGTGCCAGCAAGAGCTTTATATGTATCACGCAATGCAAGTTTTATATATATAAACTTACTTAGACATGCTTTCTGATTTAAACTTTTCCCAGTCCAGTAAAGCACTTCAACTTCTCTTTCAGGTAATTGTTACCAACATAGCAGTTAATATCATCATGAAGCAGATGATTATTGCAGATCATGCACGGAGAACAAAGGGTAAAATATTTAACTGTAAGAGACTATATTCTGTGCAGTGAAAAACCTGAAGTCATTTTCAAGATCCATTACTACTTCTTTTTAGTAGTGTCAAGTTAATAAAAAGAAAAGATTCTACCAAGTCTCCTATCTACCTACTCTAGGATTTCTGTGAGGATCAAATGAGATGAGGCACATGAAAATGCTTCACAGACATTTGGTTGAACTGTAAAATGTTTGCACCTGACTATAAAGCAAGTCGTGTTCCTGGGCTAAAGAAACGCCAAGGAGGCTAGTCGTTAGGGAAAGGAAGCTGGCAGTTGCTACAGGACATCATTGCCTGGCACCTACAGCAACCATAACCAGGCTGGGCTGGACTGTGGGCCATATTTTGCACCATGGGTCTCAGCAGTGTTAACTGTGATTTGGTGGGCTGTCACTCCAAGGTGGTGGGGTGGCCTGTGTCCCACTTTGGAAAAGCTGAGTGTTGCTTTGTGTGCACAAGGTCCTCAGTGCCACTTCTCTCTAAATGGCCAGTGTGCATCACAGCAGCTCCTGCATTGAGCATCTGCCCCCTGTTGGTCAGTGTGCATCACAGTGGCCAGTCTGAAACTTAGCATATTAACTTTTTTATATTTAGACTAGAGGCTCAGTGCACAAAATTCATGCACAAGGGGAGGGGTGTCCCTCAGCTCAGCCTGTACCCTCTACAATCTGGGACTCCTCAAGGGATGTCTGACTGCCCAGGATTGGGCCTAAACGGGCATTCGGATATCCCTCTCACAATCCAGGACTGCTGGCTCCCAACTGCTCACCTGCCTGCCTTCCTGACTGCCCCTAAACACTTCTGCCTGCCTGCCTGATCACGCCTAACCACTCCCCTGCCAGCCTGATTGATTTCCAACTGTTCCCCTGCCAGCCTGTTTGCCTCCAACTTTCCTCCACTGTTGGCCTGGTCACCCCTAACTGCCCTCCCCTGCAGGCTTCCATCACCCAAATGCCCTTCATCGCCCCCAACTGCCCACTCTCTTGTGGTGGCCATCTTGTGTCCACATGGGGGCAGGATCTTTGACCACATGGGGGCAGCCATCTTATGTGTTGGAGTGATGATCAATCTGCATATTACTCTTTTATTAGACAGGATTTATTAGACAGCCTGGTGCATGGGTGGGAGCCAGCTGGTTTGCCCTGAAGGGTGTCCTTGATCAGGATAAGGGTTCTCTTGGGGTGTGGGGCAAAATGGGCAAGAGGCCTATGGTAGTTTTCAGGCTGGCCACACCTCCCGATGACCCAAGAGGAGGCCCTAGTTTCTGGGATTTATTTATCTTATATAACTAAAACTTTGTAGCCTGAAGTGCAGTCAAGCCTCCTGCTTGCTTCCCAACCAATTGCCTGCCTGCCTGCCTGCCTGCCTGCCTGCCTGATTGCCCCTAACTGCTTCTGCCTGTTAGCCTGATCACTCCCTAACTTCTCCCCTGACAGCCCAATTGCCCCTAACTGCCCTCCCCAGCTGATCTGTCAGCTGCCCCTAACTGGTTGCCTCTTACTGTCCTCTCTTGCAGGTCTAGTTGCCCCCAACTGCCCTCCCCTGCTGGTCCACCCTAACTACCCTCTCCTGCAGGCCTTGTCCCTCCCAACTGCCCTCCCCTAAAGGCCTGGGTCCCCCTACAACTATCCTCCCCTGCAGGCCTGGTCACCCCCAACTGCCCTCCTCTGCCAGCCCAGTCAACCCTAACTACCTTCCACTGCAGGCCTGATCGCCCACAACTGCCCTCCCTTGCTAGCCAACTTGTGGCAGCCATCTTGTGTCCACATGGGGGCAGCCAACTTTGACCACATGGGGGCAAGTGACCACTTGTGCATTAGAGTGATGATCAATTTGCATATTACCTCTTTATTATATAGGATGATATAGAATAAGATAGCAATTAGCTCTTAAACTGCAAAGCCCATAATTATGCCTTGTTATATTTATTTTCTAGAAGCACAATCATACTAAGTTGCCTTTCTTCCACCTTAAACTTGTTAAAGAACTAAAAAAAATTACAGAAGCATCCTTAAGTTACACTATCATGAATGTCCACAAAAAGAACTGCTCCCCATTATTGCCAAGAGGGCATGACAACCAAAAAATTAAAAAATAATCAAGGCAAAGGACCAAACCTGGGAAAAGCCAAGAAACAGAGAATAGAAAATAATAAATTAAATAATAATCAGCAAGGTAAATGTACCAAGAAGGGAAAAACCTCAGAAAAGAAAAAATAACAGTTCATTTCATTTATGTGCATGAATTCAGACAGTAAAAGCAAACATACAGGAAAAAACTAACCTGGTTTTCCTCCTGCACAACTCTATACTGTTCCTTCCAAACAGTGATTTTGGAAGCTTCATCTTTTCTCAGGGCTCGCTCTTTCTTCAGCTCTGGGCTCCAGAAGGTCTTGATGCTATTCATTGAAGAACTTAATTTGCTCTCTTTTACTTCCACATCCTTCCGCAAGAGATCATTTTCCCTTAATACTTCCTTCAGCTGTGTCTGCAGATCCATGATTGTGTTATCTCTTGCCTGACGAAGAGAGTGAGGAACAGTAGATGCCATACTCACAGGAGGGAGGTGATGCTCTCCAAATGCTATGGTGTCACTAGCAACCCCACCACTAGCTATATTAGGGCTACTGCCCATAGCAGTCATCCTAACACCGTAAGGCAGACGTCCCCCAGAACGGCCAAGTGTCATAGTGCTTTTAGGTGTTTCTGAACCCACATTTTCATGATCACTTAGGTACATTGGGCCAGATGTGGCATAGGCAGCATTTAAGGACTGGATATTCTCCATTGAAAGGGTTTTCCCACTGCCACCTCCAACACTGCTTCCAGAGTTCCCTCCTGTACTATTGGTTCGGCGATGGCCCAAGCGAGGGGAACGTGGAAGCCTAGGTGAACGCCCAGGGCTCTGGTTGCTCGGTTCCACCTTCCCAACTGAACGAGCACTTCCATACATGACTGCAAGATGAATTTATGTAACAGGCAAGGTATAAAGCAGAGAGCAAAATATGGAACTCCGTGAGGTTTCTTGATGGCTGTAAGTTTGCTTAAGGCAAATCAGAAATAACAGGTCCTCAGCTGTCCAGTCTTGAAGAAATATCTTATACCATATCTGTAATGAGAAGATCACACAGTCAATCCTCCAATAATAACCATTTCCCTTCTAAAAAATATTTCATTACCCCCACTTGAGGAAGCTCTCCCTCCTATCTTCTATTTACTCATGCATTCAAAATTTGTTTACAGCACAACTTATTTCATAGTAAACATCATTCTATAAATATTTCACCTTTCCCAAAAACTGAATATTGAAACCATACCAAGCAAATGAAAAAGTGCCAAGGAAAAGATAAAACTGTTTGAAAATACGATTTTCTAACTGAAAACCCAAAATTATAAAATGAAAAGTTATTAGGACTAATAATAAAACCCAACAAGTTTGTCAGATATAAGATCAATATATAAATAGCAATACTTTCTTGCACATTAGTAATAATAATCAGACAAAGTGATTTTTTTAAAGTTCATTCACAATAGCAACTATTATAAATCTAACAAAAAAAAGGCATGCTTTTTTTTTTAATTACAAAACTTTACAGAAACAACATCTGAACAAAACAAAATATATCCATGCTCATGGATAAGAACACAAACACTGGAAAGGTGGTTAGTTTTTGCCCAAATACTTCAAATTCCAATGAAAATCTCCACAAGATTCTTAACATAACTCTAAAGTTGACTCTAAAATTCAAATAGAATTGTAGGGATACAAGAATAACCAAAACAACCTGAAATAAAAGAATAAAGAAGGAATATGTCCCCTAAATAGCAAGAAAAATTACAGGTTCAGTATCCTTAATTTGCAATCCAAAAATCCAAAATATCTGAAAAGTTATATTTTTTTTTTCTTTTTAACTCACTTAGGAGCAAAACCTGACCTGATTTTTTATATGCATCTCAGTGTGATTATCGTACACTTCATTGAGAAAATAATGTGAACTTACAGGATATTGCATAATGTTCATTGGGTACTAATATCCTGAGCACTGAGGAGTCTTAGGTTTGATTGCTAGTAAAGGGCACATACCTGGGTTACAGGCCTCGGCAAGGGTGAGTGCAGGCGGCAACCGATCAGTATGTCTCTCTCATGATGATGTATCTCACTGTCTGTGTGTGTGTCTCTCTCACCGCTGCCCCAACCCCTCTTCCACTCTTTCTAAAAATCAATGGAAAAAATACCCTCAGGTGAGGATTAACCAAAAACTGAAGATATTTAATTTTTTAATCCAGTAAATTTTGAGGTTCCTCTTTGACTAATGTCTTTTGAGGTTACTCTATGACTAACCTCATATTATTTTCAAAATACTATGACATTAATTGCCGTTTTCACTGTACGTTCTCACAAATGTATAGAAGAGTTTTCCAGAGGTACAGAACATGTGATATTATTCCACTGATAGCTAATGGAATGTGTCCTTTTGCACTCTTATGTATTAAAATTTTGTTTTACTTTCTATATGATAAACAGTAATAGTTATAGCCTACATAAAGAAAAGCTATTTAGCATCCTCATTATTTTTTAAGTGTGTAAAGGGATCCTGGAACTAAAGAGTTTAAGAACTACTGCTCTAAAATTTAAATATGAAGAGAAACCAAGATGGTGGCACAGGTAAACACCTAAACTGCTGCCTCGCACAACAATATCAAAACTACAACTAAAAGACAAAACGTACACCATCCAGAACCATAGGAAAACTGGCTAAGTGGAAATTCTACAACTAGAAGAAAAGAGGAAAGCACACTGAGATTCAGAGGAGCTGTAAAAGGCTGAGGTATGGAGATGCACACGCAGAGAGAATGAGTGTCTGTGTGCACAGGCGGCTGAGTGCGCGGCTGACTCTCTAAAGCAGTAGGGAGACAGAAGCCCCCGACTGCACTGGTCGAAACCAGTTTGGCTCAGTGGATGGAGTGTCAGCCTGCGAACTAAAAGGTTCCGAGTTCGATTCCGGTCAAGGGCACGTACCTTGGTTGCGGGCACATCCCCAGTGGGGGGTGTGCAAGAGGCAGCTGGTTGATGTATCTCTCTCATTGACATTTCAAACTATCCCTCTCAATTCCTCTCTGTGTAAAATCAATAAAATATATTTTAAAAAATAAATAAAAAGTTACTTTAAAAAAAAAAAAAAGAAGCAGCAGCACCCCCAACTGCACTGAACTCCAGTCTCAGGTGAAACTCTAGCAAACCAGACTTATCCGGAGGAAATCTGAACTGTCAGGAAAAGAGAAAGCACACTGAGACTCAGAAGCTGCGGAAGACAGAAGTCCGGAGGCACACAAGCCCAGAGAAGACTGACTGCTGAATAAATGGGCAGCTGAGTGTGTGGCTGGCTTTCTAAAGTGGGAGGGAGTCAGAAGTTCCCAACAGCGCTAAACTCCAGTTCCAGGCAAGTTTCTGGAAACCCTGATTAATTCGGGGGAGAAACTGGACTGTCTGGGCAAAACTCGACGGCGGCTTTCTCTCAGAGGTTCTTGCCGCAATTACCAAGGGACACTGAGACCCAGGGGCCTCATAGGGCAGGGCTGACAGGAAACAAAGGTTGTCTGCTCCACCCAAAAACTCCGCCCCATCAAGCTGAGCACAGAGGCTTTTGCAGTTTTGCAAGTCTTGTCTCATAAGAGTATCTCCAGCGCAGAAGTTCTTCTAGCATAGACACAGCCAATCCTCTCAGCCATTAACCTGGAGGTCAACTCCTCCCAGTGATACCAACAACAATCAAGACTTAACTACAACAAGGCTGAGCACATAGTCCACAAAGGGGTGCACTAAGTGTGTCGACCTCAGGTAATTGGGGAGGCCGAGCCACTGGGACCTATAGGACACTTACCACACAAAGCTACTCTACCAACTTAGGGAAGCAGCGAAAATTCGGAGACAAAGAAACAGCTCACAAATGAAAGAAATGCAGTAAAGCAAACTACTAGATATAGAGTTCAAAACCACAGTTATAAGGTTTTTCAAGGATTTCCTAGAAAAGGCCGATAAATTTAGCAAGACCTTCGAGGATATGAAAAAAAACAACAACTAGAAATTAAACACACACTGACTAAAATAGAAAATATTATAGACAGACCTAACAGCAAACTAAAGAACTGCAAGAATCAAGTCAAAGATTTGAAATACAAACAAAAACCAGCCTGAAAAGGAAAGAAAAAATAATCCAAAAATTGGAAGATAGTGTAAGGAGCCTCTGGGACAATGTCAAGCATACCAATATCAGAATTATGGGGGGTGCCAGAAGAAGAGAGGGAGCAAGTTACTGAAAACCTATTTAAAGAAATAATAACTGAAAACTTCCCCCACCTGGTGAAAGGCATAGACTTACAAGTCCAGGAAGCACACAGAAGCCCCCCCCCCCCCCAAAAAAAAAGAAATCCAATGAGAACCACACCAAGACACATCATAATTAAAATGCCAAGAGCAAAGGACAAAGAGAGAATCTTAAAAGCAGCAAGAGAAAAACAGTTAATTACCTACAAGGGAGCACCCATACAACTGTCAGCTGATTTCTCAACAGAAACTATGCAAGCCAGACAGGAGTGGCAAGAAATAAAACAAAGAGCTTCACAGAGAAGAAAAAGCTAAAGGAGTTCATCACCAACAAACCAGTATTAAATGAAATGTTGAAAGGTATTCTTTAAGAAGAGGAAGAAAAGAAAAAGGTAAAGATAAAAAATATGAACAAATACATGTCTATCAACAAGTGAATCTAAAAATCAAGTGAATAAGAAATCTGATGAACAGAATAAACTGGTGAATATAATAGAATCAGAGGCATAGGAAGGGAGTGGACTGACAATTCTCAGGGGGAAAGAGGTAATGGGGAATGCAAGAAGAGACTGGACAAAAAGCGTACACCTATGGATAAGGACAGTGTGAGGGGTAAGGGCAGAGGATGGGGTAGAATCAGGTGGAAGGGAGCTATGGGGAGGAAAAAGAGGAACAACTGTAATAATCTGAAAAATAGATTTATTAAATTAAAAAAAGAAAAAAATTAAATATGATATAATCATACATATAAACACACATAGGGTGGCCAGATTATTTATTATGATCTCTGACAACAATAATCTGGCCATTCAGTGCAGTGTGTGTGTGTGTGTGTGTGTATGTAGAGAGAGGGGGGGGGGGAGAGAAAGAGAGAGAGAGAGGGAGGCCTGGTGCATGAATTCATGCATGGGTGGGGTTTGGCCAGCCTGGCCAGGGGGAGGGGACATGAGCAGTTGGCCAGCCTACTGGTCGAAGTCCTGGTAGAGGGGACAATTTGCATATTGGCCTCTTATTATATAGGATATACACTGAGTGGCCAGATTATTATGCATTCAGAGATCATAATCTGGCCATTCAGTGTTCATCCTTTGATGGCTTCCCAAAATAAGAATATAAATTCCTCAGCTGTACATATAGGATTATTCATGATTTGGACTCTGCCTACCTCTGTCTAGGCAGGTAACTTCTAAACTACTCTTCGTTGCATCTGTCAGCTATAAACAAGTACCTAAATTTTAATGAAATACCATGCTCCCTCTTGCTTCCATGACCATCCTCCATCCACATCGACTGGCTCTGTTTAATGGTCTGATTGATGCTTCTCTGTTTCTGTTTTTGTTCATCAGTTTATATTGTTCATTATATTCCACAAATGAGTGAGATCATTTGATATTTATTTTGTTCTGCTGGTTTATTTCACTTAGCATAATGCTCTCTAGTTCCAACCATACTGTTGCAAATGATTTAAAGATATTTTTTAACTGGAGAATAGTAGTCCATTGTGTACCAGTTTTTTTAATTCACTCATCTGCTGGTGGGCACTTAGGCTGTTTCAAAATCTTAGCTATGGTAAATTGTGCTGCTATGAACATTGGAATGCATATATCCTTTCTGATTGGTATTTCTAG